CAGGGCTGCGTGCTGTTCCTGTCTTGACTGCTTTTGAGGCGCCTCAAAAGCCTCAAAAATTGAGGAGCCTCAACAGTCGACTCAAAGAGAGTGACCGGGGCTACTTGCTGTGCCTGCTTTGACTGTGTGGGTGGGTGGGGAGATAGATAAGGTGTGGGGAGACTTGCTGTGCCTGCTTTGACTGTGTGGATGGGTGGGGAATAAGGTATGGTGGTGGGGGAACAGGAGAAACCCTTAAGTTACACACAACAGGTGGGGAGATAGATAAGGTGTGGGGAGACAGGAGAAACCCTTCACCTACACACACAACAGGCGGGCAGATTGTTTAGTGGACTCAAAAAGAGCAGCCTGTGCAGATTGCTTGATATGCGTGCTTTGACTGTGCGGGTGGGTGGGGGAACAGTTGCGTCGGGGAGGGGAAAGGAGAAGCGTTTGAGTTGACTCAAAAGTGGGGACAGGAGGAACCCTCAAGTTACACACACAACAGGTGGTTAGGGTTGCTTGATATGCGTGCTTTGACTGTGTGGGTGGGTGGCTAAACAGGTATTGTGGTGGGGGACAGGAGGAACCCTCAAGTCACACACGCAACAGGTGGTTAGGGTTGCTTGATATGCGTGCTTTGACTGTGTGGGTGGGTGGGGAAATAGACACGTGGGGGCAGGAGAAACCCTCAAGTTACACACGCAACACTTGTCATGAGAGAATGGCAGTGGCACAGGGAAACTGCAAGCATCAAAAGCGGAAAATCAATGCAGAATTTACCTGGAAAGTCACCACTGCGTGTAGCTGTGGCTCAGGAGCAGGCAAGGAATCTGATTGGTTGAAAGGTCCGCCAGCTCCCCCTTCTGATGTTTTTCCAGCTGACCGAAATGCAGATTGCTCCAATCGCAGGCTGTCCACCTGCCCGAATTCTTCAAGAGCTGCTCGAATCTGGGCTACACTGACCGATGGTGAGACATCAGTGAGTGCGACTGTAAAGAAGCTTGATTTTGCTGCAAGCGGAAGGAAAGAGAAAGAGCTGTCGGGCAGTTCGGAACCTTTTCCTGACCGTTCCACCACCCGCCTTCCTGCTGCTGATGCCGCTCCCGCCGAACCTAACATCCCCAAGCCTGCACCTCCCGAACCAGCTGCCACCGAACCTGCTCTTTCCGAGCCTAAACTAGCGTCTACACCACTAGAAACGGGTAAACTGCCAGTGGAACCCGATTGTGAAACGCGGGGTATTTGGGAGCTTAGAAGCTCTAGCAGACCGTCTGAACCACTAAGCCCTAAAGCACTATGCCCTAAACCCTGAACCCTCCCCTGCTGCTGCCTCCTGCTACTCCCTGCCATGTGCTCCCCGTTTCTCACACCCCTCTCTGCCGTGTGCTTGCTGCCGCTCCCACTCTGCTGCTGCCACGTCACGTGCTGCTGCTGCCACGTCAGCTTGTCAACGTGGGCCTGGGTGGTTGGGGAGAGGAGTGGGAGGGTGTGTCTGCAGGGGGTGAAAGAGAGAGGCGAGGAGACAGGAGGAGGAGGAGAGAGAAGGGAGGAGACAGGAGGAGGAGGAGAGTGAAGGGAGGAGACAGGAGGAGGAGGAGAGAGCGGGGAGGAGGAGGAGGAGGGGGAGGAGGAAAAGGATGATGAGGAGGAGGAAGAGATGGAAGAGGAAGAGGAGGAGGAAGAGTGATGGGAGGAAGATAGAGCATTCAGAAAGCCTTCCTCAGTCTTAAAATACACTACAGCCCGTGTGCCCCTGCCACGTGTCCCTTTGTACAGCCTCACATCCACCACCTCTCCTCCTCGCCCCTCCATCATCTGCCACGTGTCCTCCTCTGATACGTCCACAGGCAGCCCCGCTACCTGCACTCCATAGCAACACGTATACTCCACATCCGTCCTCGTTATAGCCTGCCTCGCTGCAACGCCATTCCAAGGCCGTTCGCCTCTAGTAAAGGCAGCTGCGTCGTCTGAAGCACTCACACCCCCTTCCACAGCAACATCAGGGTCACCAAAACCGCCATCCCTCCTCAATATCTCCTCTTCCTCGCTTTTCTTCTGCTCTCTCGACCCTTCCGTGCCCCAGTCTTTCCCTCTCTCGCCCAAACCTCCCCGTTCTTGTGGGGCCTCCTCCCCCGTTCGCTCGATACCCTGTGGCCTAAGCAAAAGCCTGAGTGCGTCCAAGCCACTGCTGTTGCCGCTGCTACTGCCATTGCTACTGCTGCTCGTGCTGCTGCTGCTGCTGCTGGTTGTAATGCTGCTGCAAATGTTGCTGCTGCTCCTACGCTCCTCCGACGCTCCGCCCTCTCTTCCTTCCGACGCCGCTCTCAACCACTCAAGACCGGTTTCTCCAGGCGTCTCAAAACCCTCCATCGCTCCTAGCCTCTCAGGACCGGTTTCCCCAACCGCTCGCTCCCACGCCGCCGCACCAACTCCTCCTGTCCCATCGCCCGCCGACGTGGTAGTTTCAATCGAATCCTGGAACACCTCAGTGGCGCTGCTGGCCCCACTGCTGGTAACGGAACAGTGCTTATCGGAGCTGCTGCTGACATCACTGCTAGCGTCTCTTCGACTTTCATCTCTTGGGCCTTTATCGGAGTTGCTGCTAACAGCACCGTCCGCATCGACCCTACTCGCGCTGCTATTCGTTGCACTCCCCACGGCAGAAGCGAGGTTCATAATCCGATTCAGCAAGCCGCGATCCGCCTGGATCTCGCCGAACCTGCTCTCTCGGGATCCGAACCTCCTTGTCCCGCCGAAGCTGTTGCCGGCTCCGAACCCCGTTGCTACCCCTGACCTCCCAGGAGGCTCGTCTGTCGGCCGCTCGAGGTTCGGCGCTGCTTCGGTTGCACCCGATTCCAGATTCGTGGTAACCCGTTTCGAAGATGGCCCATTTTCGCAGCAGTCGCTACTATGGCTGTCGCGCGACTCTCGTGCATCGCTCGAATGCAGCAGTCTCGCGAGTTGATTCGACAACGAATCCACATAATCGAGGGAATGGTTCGATTTGGCGCGGCGAGCGAGAGGGATTGCTGAAGATCGAGAACGAAAATGCTGGAGCGATCTGAGGCCGGAAGACGCCATGGATGCTACTACTACAGTGCGGCGCGACAGAAGGACTTAAAGGCACAGAACGGGTAGCTAAGACCGGTACGGTGCAGTGAACGCTTGGTCGTAGCGCCAGATTGGACGCGGGGAATTTATGGCTTCAGGCGCCGACGTGATGTCGAACGGTGATCGCGGCGCGTACGAGCTGAGCGGTATGATTTTATCACTGATCAGCCCCACTTCCCTGCTGCTGAAATCTTCAAGATGTGTCACGAGCAAAAACGCGCAACAGGGAAACTCGTTGAGCGGTAAAGCTGCCGAGATTCCCCTTTTTGCAAATTTGGTTGCATATGGTTGCAAAGACAAACAGCTTCCTGGTTTTTGAAAAGTGAGGGTCTGTGGACTGACATGTTGGTAGCGGTTCGGTGTCAGTTCGTATAACGAATGGGCCAGATGACCACTGGCGGGCTTTTCCCGAGACCCCAAACCAAGGCACATGTTTCAGCACCCGGGATGAGGGTATTGGGATACCTGGGCGAATTTGTGTGTTCGTCAGTCCGAAACGTTAGACTTCGTTACCCACTGCGAAAACACCTTCCTTGAAACTGAACATGGGAGAAACATGAAATATGCTCGTCAATGGTAACTGCATCACATTCAGTTCGGCATGCCATGGCAATGGCAGAGCAAGAAAGAGCATGACCATGAGCAGAGCAGAGCCGTTTTTTGGGTTTCCCGCCAAAAGCATCTGTCACCTCGAGAACTCCACCAAAGACCAAGGAGCTCAACACCGTTAGAAAAGAACTAGAATCTAAGAATTACCTGATCGTGCCTCGCGGTTCAGCCCGAACAAGACAGTTAGAGCTGGCTGATCAGCTCTCTAGATTCTTGCGTTTCGTTACCCCGCGCCGCCATTCGGTCACGCATTTCGTAGTGACGTGGCTTTTGTAGTAGCTAGTATCTTTAGTATCGTTTCTTACGAAAGGACGAAGATTGCGAGTGTCATTGTTTGGTCCATCATCGTCGTTCTGATGGCGTAGTAGTGCTAGACTCCGAAGACAGTCAAGACACACCTAGGCCGGCACGTTGTAGATACACGTTTAGGTGGACGTCTTTCTGCTTTAGTGGGGTCTCCAACAAGCATGGATTTGAGCTACTAAATCATGAGAGCCCTCCAGCCTTAGTGTGTAGGGTAGTCGAATAAGTACATGTAGGCACCCAGTTAGCAGTATCGTTCCCGTCACAATCTGCAGCTAGTTGACCAATCTGCACCGCCATCGACATCACACCGAGCTTGCGACTCACACAGAGAGCTTGCGACATCACACAGAGAGCTTGCGATGGGACGACCAGACACGCGAAGAGCGCAGAAGATTCGTATCCTCGCTACACACTTTCTCTTTTCTCCAGCCACTCGCACTTTTCCAGCAGAATCTGGTTCGGTTTGCAAGTCCATTCCTGTGCTCGTTTCCCCTCTTCTTCCCAACTATACAATCTCTTTTCAGCTTCCCCAGCTTTTGCTCTACCGTCTTCGATACAGTATTCTCCCTTGCTTTTTTTATCACCATCCTGGTTTCCTTAACTCGCTGATTTACCACGCAACCTGTACCACGTAACCTAACGGCGACCAGAAACGTTCGCGGCCCACACAGCCAGCGTAAAATGCGTGAGCATTGGGCGGAAGACGGGCGAGAGAGTGATCACGGGCGGCGACGACAAGAAGTTGCTGCTCTGGTCCACCCACGACCGCGAACCGCTGCTCGTAAGTGTTGGTAACAGCGCGCTGGTAACCCGTTTAAGCGAATAAATCTCTGTTCGGGGTGTCGACGACAAGAAACTGCTCCTCTGGTCCACCCACGACCGCGAACCGCTGCTTGTAAGTGTTGGTAACAGCGTGCTGGTAAACCGTTTCAAGCGAACGAGTGCTCGCGACGCACACAGCCAGCGTAAAATGCGTGAGTTTCGGGCGGAAGATGGGCGAGAGGGTGATCACGGGCGGCGACGACAAGAAGCTGCTGCTCTGGTCCACCCACGACCGCGAACCGCTGCTTGTAAGTGTTGGTAACAGAGCGCTGGTAACCCGTTAAAGAAAATGAACGTCTTTCTGGTGGCGGCGACAAGAAGCTGCTCCTCTGGTCCATCCATGGCCGCGAACCGCTGCTCGCAAGTGTTTGTAAAAGCGCTCTGGTAACCCGTTAAGAGCAAATGAACGTCTCTTTGGTGTCAACGACAAGAAGCTGCTCCTCTGGTCCATCCATGGCCGCGAACCGCTGCTCGCAAGTGTTTGTAAAAGCGCTCTGGTAATCCGTTTCAAGCGAATGATGTCTGTTTGGTGGCGACGACAAGAAGCTGCTCCTCTGGTCCACCCACGACCGTGAGCCGCTGCTCGTAAGTGTTCGTTACAGCGTCCCTCTCCATTCCTCCCTCTCTCCATCTATCCCATCCCATCGCAGAAGCTGAGCGGCAGCATGAGTGCAGTAGAGAGTATGCCGCTGGATAGCCTCTGTGCCAGTTCTCCTCACACTGCGTTTCTCGCTGCGTCCCACTTTGTTCTCTCGTCCCTCCGTCCATGCCATCCCATCGTAGAAGCTGGGCAGCAACACCAGGAGAGCACTCTACTGAGCGAGCAATCCTTGTGACCAATCCAGTTTCGCTCACGTGTCCGTCTCGCTCACGTGTCCCCGCATCTTGATTCCTGTCTCTCCATCCACATGTGCCACGGCATGGCAGAAGCTAAGTGGCAACACCCTCGCCGTGGAGAGCATGCTGCTGAGCATTCGCTCACTTCCTCCATCCACATCTCTATCTCTCCATCCATCTCTGCCATCCCATGGCAGAAGCTGAGTGGCAACACCAGCGCCGTGGAGAGCACGCTGCTGAGTCACCAGACTCTGTGCCTCCTCCTCGTGCTGTTCCACTCACTGCCTCCATCCACATCTCTGTCTTTGCGTCCGCATTCCTCCCTACCCATCCCTGTGCGTCGAACTATGGCAGAAGCTGAGTGGCAACACCAGCGCCGTGGAGAGCACGCTGCTGAGTCACCAGACTCTGTGCCTCCTCCTCGTGCTGTTCCACTCACTGCCTCCATCCACATCTCTGTCTTTGCGTCCGCATTCCTCCCTACCCATCCCTGTGTGTCGAACTATGGCAGAAGCTGAGTGGCAACACCAGCGCCGTGGAGAGCACGCTGCTGAGTCACCAGACTCTATGCCTCGTCCTTGTGCCGTCCACTCACTGCCTGCATCCACATCTCTATCTCTCCATTAATATCTGCCATCCCATGGCAGAAGCTGAGTGGCAACACTTGCGCCGTGGAGAGTGCGCTGCTGAGCAGTCTCTGCGCCCAATGCACTTTCGCTCACTGCCTTTTCGCTCACTGCTGTTTCTCTCCATCCACATTCCTCTCTACGCATTCATCTCCGCCATCCCATGGCAGAAGCTGAGTGGCAACACCAGCGCCGTGGAGAGCACACTACTGAGCAGAACAGAAGATCAGGCCATCTCGGGCGTGCTCAGCGGTTCTGTGAAGCTGTGGGACCTCAACGAGGGCAAAGGTGAGGCATCCATGGCGTGGAGCGCAGTGAATCAGTGAAGCTAGCTTGGGAAAAGTGCGCTGCTGAGCAGATCGGAGGACCAGGCGATCTCGGGCGTGTTAAGTGGATCTGTGAAGCTGTGGGACCTCAACGAGGGCAAAGGTGAGGCATCCACGCACTGTGTGTGAAGCTCAGTGTGTTCGTGAAGCCAGCGAGAGGAGAGAGTGCCGCTGAGCAGATCAGAGGACCAGGCGATCTCGGGCGTGTTAAGTGGATCTGTGAAGCTGTGGGACCTCAACGAGGGCAAAGGTGAGGCATCCACGCACTGTGTGTGAAGCTCAGTGTGTTCGTGAAGCCAGCGAGAGGAGAGAGTGCCGCTGAGCAGATCAGAGGACCAGGCGATCTCGGGCGTGTTAAGTGGATCTGTGAAGCTGTGGGACCTCAACGAGGGCAAAGGTGAGGCATCCACGCACTGTGTGTGAAGCTCAGTGTGTTCGTGAAGCCAGCGAGAGGAGAGAGTGCCGCTGAGCAGATCAGAGGACCAGGCGATCTCGGGCGTGTTAAGTGGATCTGTGAAGCTGTGGGACCTCAACGAGGGCAAAGGTGAGGCACGCTCTGTGAAGCTTACCAGGACTGACTGTGAGGCGGGCCAAAGGTGAGGCATCAAATTGTGGAGCTAGCAAGTGGAGAGGAGAGAGTGCCGCTGAGCAGATCGGAGGACCAGGCGATCTCGGGGGTGCTCAGTGGATCTGTGAAGCTGTGGGACCTCAACGAGGGGGAAAGGCGAGCCTTTTAGAGTGAAGATCTTTGGGACTAATTGGAACTAGGGCCAACTACCCCACATTATAGCTGTGGTTGCAGTGTCTGTGCCAGCACAATACCAAATGAGTCGTGCACTGCCAGGGTGTGGGGCCTGCAGCAGAGGGAGGCGGCTGGCAGGGTCATATTCCTTGACCTCCACCCACCTATTGTCCTGCTTATCGTTCCCCGCCCCCCTTTCCCCAACCCAAACCAACCCAAACCAACCTCCCCCACCCCCACACACACCTCCCCCAGCCGGGCCACCGGGGGTTCAGCCATTGCTCTGGACTCCTCCCACGCAGCTGTTTCCTTTTCCTCTGCTTCATCCCCCCTCTCCCCATCCCCACCCCAACCCCCCCCTCCCTCCACCACCCACCCTCACCAGCCGTGCGCACCCTGACAGGTCACAGGGGGTCGGCTGTCTTGCTGGACCTCCGCCGACGTGACCCCATGCCCCACCCCACCTGACTTTTGAATCGAGTCACCTTGTGCGCACCCTGACAGGTCACAGGGGGTTGATTGTCTTGCCGGACGTCCGCCCACGTGACCGCATGCCCCACCCCACCTTCTCTTCCCTTCCTTTCCTCCCTCCCCCCAGACGCACTCACACCAGCCGTGCGCACCCCAACGGGCCACAGGGTTTGGTTGTCTCATTGGACCCCTCTCGCCCTGCTTCTCATACCCCGCCCACCGCCCCCAACACCTTCCCCTCCCCGGGCACCCCCCCACCCCCACCCAACCTCCCCCAGCCGTGCGCACGCTGACGGGTCACAGGGAGTCAGCCCTCTCGCTGGACTTCCTGCCCTCTGTTACTCTATGCCCTCTTCTCCCCCCATCCCCCCCACTCCCCCCACCCCTCCAAACACACACACCCACACCAGCCGTGCGCACGCTGACGGGCCACAGGGGGTCGGCCCTGTCGCTGGACTTCCACCCCTTTGAGCCCAACAACCTGGTCCCCTGCCAATGTTCCTCCCCCCTCCACTGCAACCCCTCCCACACCAGCCGTGCGCGCGCTGACGGGCCACAGGGGGTCAGCCCTCTCACTGGACTTCCACCCGTTTGAGCCGTTCCTTGCGTCGGGCAGCCAGGACTCCCCATGTGTGGGACCCAACCACCTCTCCTTCTGCCATTTCCCCCCGTCCCCAAAACACCAGCCGTGCGCACCCTAACAGGCCACAGGGGGTCGGCCCTCTCGCTGGACTTCCACCCCTTTGAGCCGTTCTTTGCGTCGGGCTCCCAGGACTGCACTGCCCGCGTGTGGGACCCGAGGCAGAAGGAGGCAGTGCACGTGCTGAAGAACCATGGGAAGGGCGTGGCGTGTGTGCGGTTCAGCCCGGATGGGCAGTGGCTGATGACAGGCGGGCAGGACTCGGTGATCAAGGTGAGGGGGGAGAAACGCAGGGGAAAAGAGGGAGGGGAGATAGAGATAGAAGGGCGAAGGCAGAGGGACGCAGTGCATACTCTGAAGAACCACGGCAAGGGCGTGGGTTGTGTGCGGTTGAGCCCGGATGGGCAGTGGCTGATGACAGGCGGGCAGGACTCGGTCATCAAGGTGAGACACGTTTCAAGGATGAGGGGAAGGTTAGGGAGGGAGTGCGAGTATGTGTGTGCGGTTCAGCCCTGATGGGCAGTGGCTGATGACAGGCGGGCAGGACTCGGTGATCAAGGTGAGGGAGGGGGAAGAAACGCAGGGGAAGGGAGGGAAGGGAGATGTGGATAGAAGGGCGAAGACCGGCAGTGCACGTGCTAAAAAACCATGGGAAGGGCGTGGCGTGTGTGCGGTTCAGCCCAGATAGGCAGTGGCTGATGACTGGCGGACAGGACTCGGTGATCAAGGTGAGGGGGAGGGAGGGAGGAACATAGGAGGGAGGAGGGAAAGGGATGAACGAGTGGAGGAAGAGGAAGGCAAGGCAGAAGGTGCTGGCACGCAAGTTGGTGACTTTTGAGTCGTCTCAAAAGTCACCTCGTTACTATGGCAGAGTATGCTGGCAGACAAGTTGGTGACTCTTGAGTCGATTCAAAAGTCACCTCGTTACTATGGCAGAAGATGCTGGCAGGCAAATTGCTTGCTGCACTCCGCGGCACCCGGAGTGTATTTCCTGACTCTACCCTGCTCAACCTATCCCTACCCCACCTTCGTGAAATGAGCCGTGTTTTGAGTCGACTCAAAATCAAAACACGGCTTTTTTCCTGACTTCATCCTTGCCATCCTATCCCTCCCCCACCCTCTCTCCTTCCCCTTGCAAGCAGCTATGGGTCGTGCAGGCGGGCAAGGTGCTGCACGAGTTCAAGCACCACCATGGCGCCATCACCTGCCCCTGCCTCACCTTTCACTCTTTGCTGCTTTCCTTGTGCTTGCATCCCTACCCCCACCTCTCTCCTGCAGCTGTGGGACGTGCAGGTGGGCAAGGTGCTGCACGAGTTCAAGCACCCTCCCCTGCCTTGCCCTTACCTCCTCTGCATCTCCTCCCATCTCCCCCTCCCCCTCTCTCACAGCTGTGGGACGTGCAGGCAGGCAAGGTACTGCACGAGTTCAAGCACCACCACGACGCCCTCACCTGCCCCTGCCTGCCTCACCTGCCCCTGCCTCATCCCTTGTGTATTGCCTCTCTGCCCCCCCTTTCTATCACAGCTGTGGGACGTGCAGGCAGGCAAGGTGCTGCACGAGTTCAAGCACCACCACGACGCCGTCACCTGCCTCACCTTCCACCCACACGAGCTGCTGCTTGCTAGCTGTAAGAGGCGCTGTTATCCTGCTTTTAATATCTAGGCCTCCACCCGTTGTCACCTGCCTCACTCTCCACCCACACGAGCTGCTGCTCGCCTCATGTCAGTGCTGCCCTCTCCCCTTGTGCCTTCTGAGAGTGTGTGCTCTGTACTGCCCATCCAAGCACCGCCACGATGCGAGCTGCTGCTCGCCTCATGTCAGTGCTGCCCTCTCCCCTTGTGCCTTCTGAGAGTGTGTGCTCTGTACTGCCCGTCCAAGCACCGCCACGATGCCGTCACCTGCCTCACTCTCCACCCACACGAGCTGCTGCTCGCCTCATGTCAGTGCTGCCCTCTTCCCTTGTGCCTTCTGAGAGTGTGTGCTCTGTACTGCCCGTCCAAGCACCGCCACGATGCCGTCACCTGCCTCACTCTCCACCCACACGAGCTGCTGCTCGCCTCATGTCAGTGCTGCCCTCTCCCCTTGTGCCTTCTGAGAGTGTGTGCTCTGTACTGCCCGTCCAAGCACCGCCACGATGCCGTCACCTGCCTCACTCTCCACCCACACGAGCTGCTGCTCGCCTCATGTCAGTGCTGCCCTCTCCCCTTGTGCCTTCTGAGAGTGTGTGCTCTGTACTGCCCGTCCAAGCACCGCCACGATGCCGTCACCTGCCTCACTCTCCACCCACACGAGCTGCTGCTCGCCTCATGTCAGAGCTGCCCTCTCCCCTTGTGCCTTCTGAGAGTGTGTGCTCTGTACTGCCCGTCCAAGCACCGCCACGATGCCGTCACCTGCCTCACTCTCCACCCACACGAGCTGCTGCTCGCTTCCTGTCAGTGCCGCCCGTCCCTGCTTCCCGTCGCCTACATGCCTGCCGTGAGTGCCTGTCAGCTCCTCCCCTCCTGTCAGTGCCTGTCCACCCTGCTCTCATGATAACAAATCGTGCCCTTTGCTCTGAGGCACGTACGTATCCTGCTTCCTTGCCCTTCCCCCTTGCTCTAAGTGTACCTCTAACTTGACTTGTGCATGTGTGCATGTGTCTGGGTTTGTGTGCATGTGTTTGATTGAATGTGTGTGCCTGTGTGTACATGTGTGCATGCGTGTGCATGTGTGGATGTTCGAATGTGTGTGCATTTGTGTACATGTGTGCATGTGTGCTTGTGTGCCCATCTGTGTGCATGCATGCACCAGGCTCCAGTGACCGCACATGCAAGTTCTGGGACCTGGAGACGTTCGAGCTGGTGGGGTCTACAGGCACAGAGGTATGTTTCTGGTGGCGGTAGCAGGAGTGTAGATAGGGCACGTAGGTATGTCTAACTGTGCGCGAACATGGGTGCCCATGCACCAGGCTCCAGTGACCGCACGTGCAAGTTCTGGGACCTGGAGACGTTCGAGCTGGTGGGGTCTACAGGCACAGAGGTATGTTTCTGGCAGCTCCTACTAACACCCTTCTGCTCTCACCACTAATATCACTTGCACGTGCAAGTTCTGGGACCTAGAGACTTTTGAGCTGGTGGGGTCTACAGGCACGGAGGTAGGGTAACAAGGGGTGGAGATGGGTGTTCATGTGTGTATATGTGTGCAGTGCACATGCGCCAGGCTCCAGGGACCTGGAGACATTCGAGCTGGTGGGGTCCATAGGCACGGAGGTGCGTTGATGGTGGCGGTGGCAGAAGTGTAGATTGGGCATGTAGGTATGTTCAACTGTGCGTGCACATGCGTCCATGTGCATGCACCAGGCTCCAGTGACCGCACGTGCAAGTTCTGGGACCTGGAGACGTTCGAGCTGGTTGGGTCCACAGGCACGGAGGTATGTCTACCTGTGTGTGTGCATGTGTGCACATGCGCATGTGTAGGCACAGAGGTGTGTGATTGTTGGGCTGCACAGGCACAGAGGTAGGGTAGAAAGGGGAAGAGGTGGGTCAAGAGAAGAGTTAGGGTAAGAGGAGTGGAGGTGGGGTAAGAGGAGCAGAGGCAGGGAAAGAGGAGCAGGAATGGCAGCCTGGTTGAATACACACGGCGACTCTCTCCCACTAAAACCTCAAGTCTGCATCCTGTTGTGCCCCTGTTTATCCCTGTTTTCCGCTGTTTGCCCATATACCCCTGTGTGCCCCTGTTTACCCCTGTGTATCCCTGCGCCCCCCTGTGCCCCCCTGTTCTACTCTCTGGCCCTACACGTGTCTCTATTTTGTGCCTTGCCTTACACTGCAGGCCAGTGGCATGCGCTCACTAGCCTTCACTCCTGATGGCCAAGCGCTGCTAGCCCCCTCTGCCGACTCACTCAAGGTGGGTGCTGTGCTGCTTGCTACAATCTGCCGTGCCTCCATTGCAGGCCAGTGGCATGCGCTCACTAGCCTTCACTCCTGATGGCCAAGCGCTGCTAGCTCCTTCCGCTGATTCCCTCAAGGTGAGACGTCCGCAGGCCGGCCGCGTTGAGATGCTCTCTGCTGCTTGCTCGCTCTGCTGACTCGCTCAAGGTGCGCATTGCTTGCTCTGCTAGTGCCAGCTGTCTCCTTTTCGTCTCCTGGTCCTTCGATTTTCTCGATTCTTTTTGTGTCCTTTACCTCCTGTCGCCCCTAGCAATAAACTTCTCCACATCTTTGCTTTCTTTGCCCACATTTTCCCTCTTGCGTTCTCCAACCATCGGCATGTGTGGGTGGGAGCTTGTGTGGTTGCTCTTCAGATCACCTCCTTGCTTCCCATCCGCAGGTGTGGGTGTGGTGCGGGAGCCGACTTTACTTTTGAGTCGATTCAAAAGTCAACTCGTGTGGTTGCTCTTCGAATCACCTCCTTCCTTCCCACCCGCAGGTGTGGGTGTGGTGTGGGAGCCCGTGCACTGCTTCGACACGGTCAGCGTGGGGTGGTGAATGGTGGTAGAAACACCACTCATTCCCAACCCATCCTCTTCACCTCTCTTCACCTCTCTCTACCACTTCACCTCTCTTCTCCTCTCTCCTGCAGGTGTGGGGGTGGGAGCCCGTGCGCTGCTTCGACACGGTCAGTGTGGGATGGTCCAAGGTGGCTACAGACACGCCTCATTCCCACCCCATCCTCTTCACCTCTTTTGACCTCTCTTCACCTCTCTCCACCACTTCACCTCCCATCCGCAGGTGTGGGGGTGGGAGCCCGTGCGCTGCTTCGACACGGTCAGCGCGGAGTGTCGGTGAGGGAGCTTGTGCGCTGCTTCGACACTGTCAGTGTGGGATGGTGGACGGTGCGAGAAACACCACTCTTTCCCTCCCCAACCTCCCCACCTCTCTTCACCTCACTCCACCACTTCACCTTCTCTCATCCTCCCATCCCTTGCAGGTGTGGGGGTGGGAGCCCGTGCGCTGCTTCGACACGGTCAGCGTGGGATGGTCCAAGGTAGCTGACGTCAGCATTCACGACGGCAGGCTGTACGGCGCCTCGTTCTCGCACACCTGCGTCAGCCTGTGGCACGTTGACCTCATGGTATGGCACCAAGTATAAAGTGCATGCTTCATGTCATTCTGTGCCTGTGTATAGCCCATTGTACAACGTTTCCCCATATAGCAGCAGGCTGTATGGCGCCTCCTTCTCGCACACCTGCGTCAGCCTGTGGCACGTCGACCTCATGGTATGGCAGTGTGGTGCTGCTATGCTGTCATCTCATGCATGGTGCTGCCATGCCATGGTATGGTAATGGTACTACGTTTCCCTTAATAGCAGCAGGCTGTAGGAGAGGAGGCCTCCTTCGCCCACACCTGCGTCAGCCTGTGCCACGAGGACCTCATGGTATGGCATGCTTTTATGGTACGACGTTTCCTTTTATCACACTAGGTACTGTATGCCGCCTCCTTCTCGCACACCTGCGTCAGCCTGTGGCTCGTGGGCCTCATGGCATGGCATGCTTTCATGTCAGCATGGTATGCCCCTTCTTACATCTCATGTCCTTCTCCCACACCTGTGCCAGCCTGTCACTCCTGTCCCACACCTGTGCCAGCCTCTGACTCCTGGCGCTGTTATTTCTTGACTGCGCGCCTCATGTTTCTCCCCTCTCACCTTCTTCTGAGTTCACTCAAAATTCACCTCATGGTATGTGTGTGCCATGTGTCAGCCTCTGACTCCTCGCGCTGTAATTGCATGACTGTACGCTTCATGTTTCTCCCCTCCCACCCCCTGCCCCGTTCGCCCCTCTTCTCACCACCAGTGGGTGGCGCCGTTTGAATCTAGCGCGTCAGAGAGCACGGAGTGTCAGAATGTGATGTTTGTCTAGCCTGCAGTGGGGTACTCTATAGCGAGTACAACCCAATTAGGGTTTCCTATATGTATCTCAACTGCTGCTAGTGAAAACCCCCTTCTTTCGTGTTTATCGTTTTAGCCTGCTGTTTCAACACGGAGGAGGAGAGGAGCCTCTCAGGGACCACCATGGGGCTGCCCCTGCCCGCCTCGCCCTCTGCCTCTACCCCATCTTCTCCTCCCTGTTTCTCCCCTATGACCTTCACTCACCCGCCCTTTCCCCACTCCTCTGCTCCGGTTTCGCCCGTTTCCTCACCGCCAGCAAGTGGCGCCGTTTGGATCTAGCGCCTCTGAGAGCACGGAGGAGGGGAGCAGCCTGTCAAGCACCTGTGTCTCTATAAACGTCATTCCCCCTTTCCTTCCCCCCCTCAGCAAGTGGCGCCGTTTGGATCTAGCGCGTCAGAGAGCACGGAGGAGGAGAGGAGCCTGTCAGGCACCACCATGGGGCTGCCCCTGCCTGCCTCTCCCACCACCTCCACCGTCTCCTCTACTGTCTCCTCCGTGTCAACGCCTGTGCACTCCCGTGCACCATGCCATCAAGGTGAGTGCTTTGTTCCTTCCCGCCTCGCAGCTCAGGCACCACGATGGGCCTGCCCCTCCCTGCCTCTCCCACCACCTCCACCGTCTCCTCTACTGTCTCCTCCGTGTCAACGCCTGTACACTCCCGTGCTCCTTGTTTCCAAGGTGGGTGCCTAAGTGTGGGTTTGTACCTTTGCTTACCTCTCCCCGCCTCGCCCACCACCTCTCCCATCTCCTCCACCGTGTCTTCTGTGTCCACGCCTGTGCACTCTGCTGCTACCGCCCGTGCTCCGTGCCTCCAAGGTGACTTTTGAGGCGCCTCAAAAGTCACACTGCTGCTACCGCCCATGCTCCGTGCCTCCAAGGTGGGTCGATTTTTTAGTCGACTCAAAAATCTGCTGCTACCGCCCGTGCTCCGTACCTTCAAGGTGGGTGTGTAGGCGTAGGCTTATTTCCCTTGCCCACCTCACCCACCACCTCCACTGTCTCCTCGTGTCAAACCCCAGCATTATACTGTTAATGCTCATGCACCATTTTATCAAGGCGGGTCCCGTCCCTTCCCCCTCACCCCACCAGCACCACCAGCACCACCACCACCAGCACCACAACTAGCACCACCAGCAGCAGCACCACAACTAGCACCACCAGCAGCACCAAAACCACCAGTCCCCCAGAGCAGTTTCCATACACCGCACTCGGCAGATCTCTCCTGTCAAGGGCGAGAGCATAGGTCACCTAACCCTCCTGTGTCTCCCTTCGCCCCTTCCGCCTTTCTTCTTCCCCCCCTCCACCAGGTACCCCCGCCAATCGCTCCCCCCACCACCACTCCTCCCCATCACCCCACCAGCATCACCACAACCAGCACCAACACAACCAGCACCACCCCCATCAGCATCAGAACCACCACCACCCCCATCAGCAGCAGAACCACCAGTCCCCCACAGCAGCATCTATACACCGCACTCGACAGGTGTCCCCCATCAAGGGCGAGAACTCAGCAGGTCCGAGCCACAAGGCAAGCGCTGAGTCGACTCAAAAGTCAACTCAAAAGGCAGGTCCGGACCACAAGGCAGGCTTGGGGAGCTCTGGAGGGGGCAGGTTCGGGTTTCGTGGGGGTGCGGGCGGGGTGGGGGCAGGAGGGGGAGGTGCGGGAGGGGAGAGTGCGGGGGTGGGGAGTGGAGGGGGGAGAGGGCGGAGAGTGTCCGTGGGAGGAGTGGGGGAGCAGTGGGGTAGGGGTGCTGGGTCCGTGAGTGGTAGGGAGGTCAGTATCGGAGCGGCAGGAGGAGGAGGAGGAATGGGAAGGGGAGGGGGAGTGGGAGGAGGAGGGGCAGGAGGGGCAGCTGGGGGGGGAGGCGCGGGAGGGGCAGCAGGGGGTAGTTTCAAAGAAGTGGGGGCAAGGGGAGGGCGGAGAGCATCTGTATCGGGCGGTTATGCAATCTCCAAGGGGGAAGATTCCTCTTCCTCTGCCAGACGAGGGGAGGGGGCCTTTGGCAAGGGCACCAGAGAGGAGGCGCAGGGAGTCCGTTCGCAAAACCCTTTTGAGACGTCTCATAAGATTCCTAGGGAAAACCCCTCTGGGTCTCATAAGATTCAAGCGTTTCTGGACGCTGGAGGGGTGGTTGTTGATGCGACTGCACGCCCTGCACGGCATGGGGTGGGGGAGGATGATGGTGATGGGAGGTTGGGTGGGTCAGACGTGGGTGGTGGTCACCAGTCCCGTAAGATTCAGGAGTTTCTGGAGGCTGGAGGGGTGACTGGGGCTGTGATTGCACACTCTGCACGGCGTGGGGTGGGGGATGATGGTGATGGGAGGTTGAATGGGAGGTTGGGTGGGTCAGACGTGGGTGGTGGTCACCAGTCTCATAAGATTCAGGAGTTTCTGGACGCTGGAGGGGTGACTGGGGCTGTGGTTTCACACTCTGCACGGCGTGGGGTGGGGGATGATGGTGATGGGAGGTTGAATGGGTCGGAGGAGGGTGGTCACCAGTCTCATAAGATTCAAGAGTTTCTAGATGCTGGAGGGGTGACTGCTGCTGCTGCTGCTGCTGCTGCTGTTGCTACAGACAGAAGTCACAAGGGCAATCACGCATGCGCAGGGGCGGACTCCTTTGGCTCGAGTGCTGCCGCCGCTGCTGCTGCTGTTGCTACAGACAGAAGTAACAAGGGCAATCACGCATGCGCAGGGGCGGACTCCTTTGGCTCGACTGCTCCAGGAGTAGCAGCACCAGGAAAAGCAGCAGCTGGGGCAGATTCAGATGCCTCTGCCACACCGGCAGTAGCAGCCTCTGTGTTTCCCAATCGTGTCCAGCCAGCTGGTGTGCCTGATGGTGGTACAGAAGCAGGCGCATCTGCTTCCAGCACACAGGCAGGCGTATCTGCTTCAGGCGCACCTACAGGCGTATCTGGTGCAGGTGGTATTCTGGGAGGGATGTCTGGCTTCGGCGTGACGTTTGACTGGAGCAGAGCGGTGGCGACTGCAGGAGGGGGCGCGGGCAGCAGGGCGGCTACAGTGGTAGAGGCGATGAATAAAGTGTCTGACTGGATCGGGTCGTTCTCTGGCCTGGAGGATAGCTTGGGAGGGGGAGGAGGGGGCAGGAAGGAGGTGGGGTATGCCGGAGAGAGAGGGGAGGCGGGAGGGGAGGGGAATGGGGTTGGGAATGAGGAGGGGAGAGGAGAGGAGCGGAGGGGGGGGAGTGAGGGGAGTGAGGGGAGTGGGGAGGGGAGAGGAGCAGGGGTGCAGAGAGTTGGGTCTGGGCAGATTAGCGGGTGGAGTGAGGACGAGGAGGGAGAGGGTGAGGGTAACGGTGGGGAGAGGAAGAGCGATGGTGCTGCTGCGAGTGATGGTGGTGTTGCTAGTGGTGGGCCGGCTGTTAGGAGTGCGACTGTGGGGGGTAAAGCATCGGTGCCAAGTCTTCGAGCCCCGTATGCTTTGGATGGAGAGGGGGAAAGGAAGGAGGAAAAGAAACGAGAGGAGGGTGGAGAGAAAGCAGATATGCACAGGTCTGGGCAGGGGGAGGAGGAGCATTCAACAACCCTAGAATGGAGTCGGAGTGAGGACGACAAGTACAAGATCCGGCCGTCTATTCTCCACCCGCCTTACGCTGTAGAGGTGGAGGAAGGAGGGGTGGAGGTCACTGCTGGTGGGGATCGGAGAGGTGGCAGTGACAGTATGAGGAGGCATGGGTCTGCCGGGGAGAGGGTGAGGGAGTGCGAGGATAGGGGCATTGGCTTGGTGGCGTCTGCATCTGCTTCTGCGTCGTTACCGGCAGGAGGAGTTGTTAGAGAGGATGCTTGTAGAGAGTATGGCGGTGCACGTGGCGGTGCATGTGAGTCAGCAGTGCTGGCTTCTTCGTCCTTGGCATATTCTCCCTCCGCCTCCTCCCCTCCCTCCTCCTCCTCGCTGTCTTGTAGGGCAGAGGCAGGGGCAGACAGGGGTGTGGGAGCAACGGGAGGAATGGGAGGAGAAGGAGTGGGAGGGGGAGCAGGAGGGGCAGGAGGGGCGGGGGATTTGATACCGGCTGGTATGATGGGAGGGGTGGGGAGCAGGAGGCAGGGCAGAGGCATTGGCTGTTCTCCCCTGTCCCCACGCTCTCAGACGTCACAAGTGCAGCCAGCACAGGTGCAGTCAGTACAGATGCACGTGCCACAAGTGCCAGCAGTGCAAGGCAGAGCAGCAGCTTCAGTGGGGGTAGCAGCACAACAACGGACAGCAGGTGCTCGACATTCAACAGCAACGGGAGGAGCAGCAGGAGGAGCAGCAGGAGGAGCAGGGAGCGTTCTGCAGTGGTCTATGAAAGTGAATGTGGACGAATTCGCACAGGTGAGAGGAGAGAGGACGGGTGAGAGAAGGCGGTGAGAGGAGAGGGGTGGGAGGGTAAGGGAACAACGGGGTTGTTGCACCTATAGAAAAATGCTGCGGACTGCAGTGTTCTATGAAAGTGAATGTGGACGAATTCGCACTGTTGAGAGGGAGGGAAAGTGGAGAGTTTAGGTGGGAGGGGTAGAGGAGTGGGAGGAGGTAGACGCACATGCAGCACATGCTGCTGTAAGCAATGCACTTACCCCCGTCTCTCCCAGATTCATTTTCCTCTCTGCCCCTTTTCCCATCACACACACACCACTCTTTACCATCGAAGCAGCAGAAGCAGCAAGATGAGGAGGAGGATGACGAGATGATGGTGATGGAGAGTGTCAACGGGCGGCACACGGCCATGCAGCACATGCTGCAACGACTAACCCACTCCCTGCCCCCCTCCCCAGCCCTCCTTACCATCCAAGCAACAGAAACAGCAAGTGGAGGAGGGAGACGAGGAGGATGACGAGATGATGGTGATGGAGAGTGTCAACGGGCGGCACACGGCCATGCAGCACATGGTGTAGGGATCAACGCATTTACCCATTCCTCCTCCCACCCCCACTCCCCGCCCTTCCCCAGCCCTCTTTACCATCCAAGCAGCAGAAGCAGCAAGAGGAGGAGGAGGATGACGAAATGGTGGTGATGGAGAGTGTGAACGGGCGGCACACTGCCGTGCAGCACATGCTCCAGGGAACAACGCATTTATCCTTGCCCCACCGCGTCTCGTTTCCCTTCTTCCGTTTCCCAGCCCTCACTACCAAGCAAGCAGCAGAAGCGGCAAGAGGAGGAGGGGGAGGACGATGACGAGATGGTGGTGATGGAGAGTGTGAACGGGCGGCACACGGCCATGCTCCACATGCTGCAGGGGAAGGGCTAATGCATCTACCCTTGCCTCCTCCCACCCACCCCCTCCCCTTGCCCCCTCCCCTTGCCCCCTCCCCAGCCCTCTTTACCAAGCAAGCAGCAGAAGCAGCAGCAGGAGGAGGGAGGAGACGATGAGGATGACGAGATGGTGGTGATGGAGAGTGTGAACGGGCGGCACACTGCCATGCAGCACATGCTGCAGGGGCGGCTGTCTGCAGTGCGCCACGTGGCAGCGCTGTGGGTGGATGGCGAACTGCTGCCCGCCCTCTCCGCCCTTGCAGCCTCGAAAGACCTTGCTGTGAGTGCACCATAAGGGAGGCAGCACTTGCTTTGCAGTGTGGCAGCGCTGTGGGTGGTGGATGGAGAACTGCTGCCCGCCCTCTCCGCCATTGCGGCCTTGAAAGACCTTGCTGTGAGTGCATTGCAAAGACCCCGCCATGCAGCACATGCTACAGGGGCGCCTTTCTGCAGTGCACCACGTGGCAGAGCTGTGGGTGGATGGAGCGAACTTGGCCGCCCTCTCTACCCTCGCCGCTTCAAAGGACCTTGCTGTGAGTGCATTGCAAGTGCCTTTCTCTGCAGCGGAAACTGACTGCTGTGGTTCTAAGTGCACGAGGTGGTGTCAAGGATGTAAGGCAGAGCAGCAGACGGCCATGCAGTACATGCTATGCTGCAACCACGTGGCAGCACATGCTGCAAGGGATGCTCTCTGCTGAGGGCACCCCTCACCTCCCTCCCTGCTTTCATTCCCTTTCTCTTTCCTCGTGATCCCCCATGTGTCTCAGGTGGTGGCGGACGTGTTGGAGGTGCTGGCCATGCAGGGAGGCAGGCGGCTGGTGTGTCTGGTTGGAGTGGACTACCCCCATTGCTGAGGGCTCCACTCACCTCGTTCCCTGCTTTCCCTCCCTATCCCCAATGCCTCAGGTGGTGGCAGACGTGTTGGAGGTGCTGGCCATGCAGGGAGGCAGGCGGGGCTGCTGCTGCTGCAGGCTGTATTCACCTCTCAACCTGCTTGCCTTCCCTTTCAATCCCCTCCGCCCCCCGTGTTATCCCCATGTACTTCAGGTGGTGGCAGACGTGTTGGAGGTGCTGGCCATGCAGGGAGGCAGGCCTCTGGTATCGGTGGGCATGGAGGGAGCATACACTTGCTGTGGATCGTTTCATCTCTCTCTTTATTTCCTTTCCCTTCCCATCTCCCTTACCTCAGGTCGTGGCGGACGTGGTAGAGGTGCTGGCCATGCAGGGAGGCAGGAGGCTGGCGTCGGTGGGCATGGAGGGGGCCTTGCAGTTGCAGCCGCTGCTGCGGGCTCTGCTCGCCAGCAGCCACTCCAAGTGAGTGGTCCTGTGCGGTGCTGTGTAGTGCTGAGCGTTTCTGAGTGATTCTGAGTGGTGCAAAGCAGCGCCATCAAGACCTCAAGGTTGTGTTTCTCTGCTATGGTTCTGTCACCAGTCTCCTGCTCTGCTGTATTGAGAAGCAGTGTTCACACTGCAAGCAGGGAGCAGGCTTTGGCTGAAAGCGAAGGGCAGATTCTGACTGTCCCTTCTGCAATCCACTCTTCTCCCTCCCTCCCTACCTCCCCCCCCTCACAGGTACGTGGGAGTGGCGCTGTCGCTGCTGCGTGAGCTGCTAAGTGTCGAACCTTTCATCTCCCCCCTTTCTCCACTCCCCCTCCCTTCCTCCCTCCCCGTCCATCCCCCACAGGTACGTGGGAGTGGCACTGTCGCTGCTGCGCGAACTGCTGAGGGCGTTCAGTGAACCCATCACCGCTGCTCGCACCGCCACGCACTCCCCTGGGGTGGATCTGCACATGGAGGAGAGGTGAGAACAAGGGAGGGAGGGGAGAGCACGGGAGGTTGAATGAGGCAATGAAGCTGACGCTCAAGGCCGATGGGCGTGCGAGGGAGCTGCTGAGGGCGTTCAGTGAGCCCATCACTGCTGCTCGCACTGCCACGCACTCTCCTGGAGTGGATCTGCATATGGAGGAGAGGTGAGGACCAGAGAGGGAGGTGAGAGCAAGCAGGTGGAATGGGGGCAATGAGCGGTGTTGGAAGGAGGTGTGAGCTGCTGAGGGCGTTCAGCGAGCTCATCACTGCTGCTTGCACGGCCACTCATTCCCTTGGGGTGGACCTGCATATGGAAGAGAGGTGAGAACAGGGAAGGAAGGGATGGGAGAGCAAGGGAGGTTGAATGAGGCAATGAAGCTGACGCTCAAGGCCGATGGGCGTGCGAGGGAGCTGCTGAGGGCGTTCAGTGAGCCCATCACTGCTGCTCGCACCGCCACGCTCTCTCCTGGAGTGGATCTGCATATGGAGGAGAGGTGAGAGTATGGGAGAGAGGTGAAAGAAGGGAGGTAGAATCAGGCAAGGAAGCGGGTGTGTAAGGTACATGGATGATGTGCGTATGGGCTGCTGAGTCTGCTTTTGAGTGGACTCAAAAGCAAGCAAGGGAGGTAGAACGAGGCAAGGAAGCGGGTGCGTAAGGTACATGGATGTGTGTATGGGTTGCTGAGGGTGTTCAGTGAACCCATCACTGCTGCTCGCACTGCAACGCATTCCCTTGGGGTAGACCTTCACATGGAAGAGTGGTGAGAGGGGAGGTGAGAGGGAGGGAGGTGAGAGGGAGGGAGGGAGGGAGGTGAGAGAGGAGGAGGCGGTTCATTAGAGGGTTGAGAGTGCCGCTGTCGCTTCTCGTGTGCAATCAGCGTTGGTACTAATAAATCTCTATTCCCTTTTACGAGATTGTACTCACTCGCATGGCATTTGGTGGCATGGCATGACATGTGATGGCATGGGCTGGCATGGCATGGGCTGGCATGGCATGACATGGGCTGGCTTGGCATGACATGGGCTGGCATGGCATGACATGGGCTGGCTTGGCATGGCATGTAAAACGACGGTGTGTTGAAATGACGGCAGGTTGCAGCGCTGCAATGATTGCTACGAGGGCTTCAGGGTGCTCGAAGACCAGCTGCACCCCATCCTCAGGTATAGCCCCCTCCCCCCCCCCTTCATCTCCCCAGCTCCTCAGCTCCCCTCGTCCCCTCCCCTCATTAGCAATGATTGCTACGAGGGCTTCAGGGTGCTCGAAGACCAGCTTCACCCCATTCTCAGGTGCACTCCCCTCCTCTCATCTCAGTCTCCCCTCAGCTCTGGTGCACCATCCTCTTCCCCTAGTCTCCCTTCCCCTACCCTCGTTATGCAATGATTGCTACGAGGGTTTCAGGGTGCTCGAAGACCAGCTCCACCCCATCCTCAGGTATAGCCTCCTCCTCCCCTCCTCTACTTCATGTCCTCCTCTTCCCCTCTGACTACCCTATGCAATGCTTCGTGTAGGACAAGCAAACTCGGGCTGTGCGCACACGCTTGGAAAACGATGAAGGTTGTATCCTTGCTACTTTTTCTTCTTTAATGAGCCAGCATCGATGAAGGATCCTTGTTGCATTACCATGAAGCTGCTTGCGCATCGTGGTATTCTGCAGCAGCTGTGGTCTTCTCATCTCCCAACTTACCCTCCTCTCCTCCCTTCCACCATTGCAGGAGAAGGAGCAACGAGAACTATGCCCTTGCTTCAGATGTTCACATGCTGTTACAGAAGATGCAATGACTGTCTTTACGCCCAATCGAACTAGCCATAATAACGCGATATTATAGGTGTAAAGTTTGTAGTCCAACGATACGGTGGAGGAAAACGAATGTATTGCTGGAGGCCTTACAATGCAAGAATGTGCGAAATTTGTAGGTCAGGATGGGTTGATCGCTGTTGATATTGCTTCAATCATTTGTGTAGCGTATTCCATAAAAGTATACCAAGAGATTTTCGATTTCGAGGTTTCTGTGAACTGCTAGTACCGAAGATGTTTGTTCAAAGTTGCTCACCAAGCACAAGGCGACAACGGAAGAATTGGCGGCATGGGCTGAGCAAGGAGCGGGAGTCGCAAGAACGACCTCTAGAAGCTCAGGATAATAACCTATGCGGGTCTAATCGAGGCATAATACGCAAATTTTGGGTATTGTAGGCGCTATGCGCGGACTGGCATTCGGATAGTTGTTTGGACGACTCGCAAGATCCAGCTTCGCTATCCGCGTGCGACGCTATCCGCGCGCGTGCCACACTATCTGCGCGCGTCGCTCTTTGCGTGCGTCGCTATCTGCGCGCGTCGTTATCTGCGCGCGTCGCTATCTGCGCGCGTCGCTACTTTGCGCGCGTCGCTATCTGCGTGCGACGCTATCCGCGCGCGTCCCAACCCATTACTAGCGACGCTGCCTCGTGTGCGACGCTACTCGTATGCGACGCCACCGCTGGATTGCGCTGCATTCCTAAAGTCATCCGCACCGTTGGACGATGCTGCCTGATTTCAAGGATTGATCCGCCGTTGGATGGGTCGGGCGTTTACGAGCACTCGTGGCGCTAAGCGGACAGAACCAGCTGGGAGGGAAAGGGGAGGGGAAAACGCGTTAGAGGAGATTCGCTATGCTGCATTCACGGCTGATGGCAGGTAGAGCATGCAAAGGCACGACCCTACGATCTCTGCAGTCATCGTCACTCACACAACCCCTTGAATCACCTTCCGTCCAATCTACTAGAAGTCCTATCCTACCTCCCAACTTCGCACTCCCTTTCTGCTCCCTAGTAGTAACCTCAACTCGCTTTCGTTGCTCCGTTCTTCTTCTTTGCCCCTCTCCACCCTCCCCATATCCGTCCACCACCCTTTTGCCGTGATTTTCCTTGGGTGCAGCTACGTGGCAGTGGCCACGTCAGCAGGTTTCAAGATATTCCGCTGTGCTGACGTGGCGCAGCCCGTCGTGAGCCACCTTGGCGTGGGCCCGATAAAGATCGTGGAGCTCACTCTCATCGCGCCACGTGGCGCACCACCATTAATCGCATTCGTTGGCACTGGAGACACGGTAGCTCCCCTTCTCCTCCCCGCTCTTCTCTGGTCTCCCCCCTCCCGCCCCTCTTTTGAGGCGCCTCAAAATTCCTCGAGCTCCTCACCCACACCCTTTCTCCACCAATCTCTGAAGGACCTTAGGGACGCTGAAGTTCCCTGGCTGAAGTTTCCTGGCTCTGATTTTTAACCATTGCTGCACCTCACCTCAGACGCTGAAGTTTCCTGGCTTGTATCTGTATGGCTGCTACTGCGACCAAGTTGTCGTATCTCCTTTGCTAGTTCCAATTCTTAAATCCATGACCCTAGACCTATAGTAGCCGCACTTAACGGCTACGAGGTTTACAAACTGTTTTGAGACGTCTCAAAACAACTCTGTTTACACGGCTATGAGGTTTACAAGCTGTGATACTCGCATGGCTGTGCCTCATCCCTCCATCCCTCCATCCGTCCACCCTACCCTGCCATTCCCCCACGGTTCGCCATCACTCATCTCTCCATCCCCATCCCCGTCACCTGTTCCCATCCCACCTTCCCACCCCCTCCCTCCTCTCACTCTCATTTCAGTCATCCCCATAATCGTCAACCTCCCATTTTCCATCTCCCATCCCCCCTCCCCCTCCTGCCGCACCTGTCGCCTCGAGAGCTGCATCTAGCTTCCATCACCCATCACCCATCACCCATCACCCATCACCCATCACCCCCCCTCCCTCCATCCCTTTCTCTCTGTCCCCATCCCCCTCCAGCCGCACCTGTCGCCTCGAGAGCTGCATCTAGCTTCCGTCGCCCATCCAGCCTTCCCACCTCCTCCCTCCACCTCCCCTACTTCTTTATCTCCCTCCTCTCTCACCCCTCTCGGCACCCTCTCCTTCCTCACCATCATCACTGCCGTCCGTCTCAACCACTCCAGGTGAGCTTTGAGGGGACGGTTGAGATGAGTCATCTTTTCTCCTCATTTCCCTCTGTCCCCACTGCCTTGCCCTCCTCCCTCACCCCCCTCGGCACCCTCTCCTCCTCACCATCATTACTGCTGTCCGTCTCAACCACTCCAGGTGGGGTTTCAAGCAACTGAAATATATGTTTAGTTCCTCACCCCCCTGTGCCCTCTCCCCACTCTTTGGTGCCTCTCCCCCCATCTCTCACCCCCCTCGCTGCCCTCACCCCCCTCGCTGCCCTCACCCCCCTCGCTGCCCTCACCCCCCTCGCTGCCCTCACCCCCCTCGCTGCCCTCACCCCCCTCACTGCCATCACTACTGTGCACCTCAACCTAATCACATCCCTCGTGTTCTGCCATCTGGTTCGCGCGCCTCAACTAATCACACCCCTCGTGTTCTGTGTGCCGCGGTACTGCAGGCTACTGGTCCTGCTCGAATCCAGGCTATTAGTGCATGACGTCTCCCCTCAGGGTGTTGCTGCCGGCTTCCCTCTCCTGCTCTCCCTCACTGTCGCCCCCAACCCTAATGGTGAGTCTTCTGCCCATATGAAATGGTGGTTGCTTGCCAAGAGCTCAGTCCTAGTCCCGTAAAACAGAAAAACTGTTTGACGCAAACAGTTTTCCCTCTGCCACTCTTCCCTTTTAGTCTCCTTCAAGGAGACTGTGCCCTGAGCCCTGTTTTCCCGATTTTCATCCCCCTTGTCTTTCCCCGCCTGCCATTTGTTTCTCTCCCCTTCCCCCATTTTCATGTTTCCATCCCCTGTTCCTTCCAGGCATATGTGCCCTGAGCCCTCTCTCGCCTCCCCCTTCTTCATTCCCTTCTTGCCAAACGTCCTCCCTGCTTGTGTCCCCTCCCAGGCATCTGTGCCCTGAGCCCGCTATCTCCTCGCCCCCTATCCCTGTCCTATGTGCATGTGCCATGTTCCCATGAGCCATGTTCCCCTGTGCTGTTCCCCCTCCCATTCTCCCCTCCCCTGACCCTCCCAGGCATCTGTGCCCTGAGCCCTGTCTCTCCTCGCCCCCTCTCCCGCTCCTCCTCCCATTCGTCAGGTTCCCCTGTTCCGTTTTCTCCCTCTGCCATTCTCCCCTCCCCTGACCCTCCCAGGCATCTGTGCCCTGAGCCCGCTCTCTCCTCGCCCCCTCACCCCCTGCTTCTGTGCCGTCCCTGCTGCTGCTCCTCGCCCCTCCCTCCTCTCTCTCTCCTCGCTAGCCACCTCTTCCTCCTCCTCCCCCTCATCGGATCAAGGCACTCTTCTCATTGTCGACCTCGTTTCTCTCCAGGCTTTTGGCCAGGTGAGCCTGTTGCTTCTGCCCGTTCTCGCCCCTCTCTCTTTTCAATGCCCCGTTCTTGCCTCCTCCTCCCCTTCCTCCTCATCGGCTCAACGCACGCTGCTGCCAGTCGATCTCATCTCTCCACACGCCTTTGGACAGGTGAGTCTGTTGCTTCTGCCCGTGCTCGCCCCTCTCTCCTTTCAATGCCTCTATCCCCCTCCGTTCTTGCCTCCCCCTCCGCTTCCACCTCCTCGGCTCAAAGCACGCTGCTGCCAGTCGATCTCATCTCTCTCCAGGCCTTCGGGCAGGTGAGTCTGCTTCTGCTCCTCCTCGCCCCTCTCTCCTCTCCCCGCATCTCTCCCTCACCTTGCACTTTGATTCGAACCTTTCCTCTTTTCTGCTCCTCGTTCACTCACTTTCCCTTTCCCCCGCTTTCCCTTTCCCCCGCTTTCCCTTTCCCCCGCTTTCTCTTTCCCCCTTCCCCCTCTCCCAGATCAACTCATGACGGGTCGATCGATCGCAGCCACTCAAATCGCTCCCTTCTGCCCGCCCCGTCCCGCTTCCTTTTCTTTCTTCCCCAGATCAAGGCTCACGACGGGCCGATCGCAGCTGTTGAAATCACCTCGCTGCTCCCAACCCTTCCATCTCCTCTGCGGCAAAATGAGCCGAATTTTCAAGGGGACGGGGAGGAGGGAGGAGGGGAGGACGGGGAGGGGGAAGAAGGGGGAGAGTGGGGGAATGAGGAGGGAGGAGGAGGGGGGAGGGAGCTGCTGGCGTCAGCATCTGCCAAGGGCACTGTGATTCGGGTGCACTGCATCCGGACAGGCAACAAGGTGGGGGAAGAGAAGACAGGACTGTGGTTTCTGTGATCAATGAACCTGGACCATTGATGAAGGCACCGTCATTCAGGTGCACTGCATCCGGACAGGCAACCAGGTGCGCTGCGTGCATTTCAAACAAGGAGGGCGACAAGATGAGTCTTCCTTCCTTACATTCATTGAATCTTGACCGTTTTAGAAGCATCTGCCAAGGGCACTGTGCTTCGGGTGCACTGTATCCGGACAGGCCTGCTTTCATGATGGATGGACCGTCAAAGGGTGTTATAATTCAGATGCACTGCATCCGGACAGACAACAAGGTGGGAGGGAGGGCAGGAGGACTGATTATTCTGTGTTCATTGAACCTGGACCAACTGCGCATGGATCGATGAGGGGCACAGTCGTTTGGGTGCACTGCATCCGGACAGGCAACAAAGTGGGGGCACCTGCAAGGATAGGCCTGCTTATTTGACATACATTGAATGTGGACAGGCAACAAGGTGAGGGCACGTGCAATTAAAAGCCTTTCTGGTCAGCATACATTGAATCTGGACCAGTAATGAAAGGACCAACCAGGGCTTCTTTGACCAGTCATGAATGCATTGCCACCTTCCAAGCTCCATTGGAGTCGCTTTTAAGAATTCTCAAAGCTCATGCATGCTACCTTTCATGCTCTGAGGTGACTTCTGAGTCTACTCAAAGGCCTTTCTTTCGCAGCTCCTGCCCGCCCCCTGTTCAAATCTATCGAACAGGTGGGGAAGATGCGCAAACAGGTGGGGAAGATGCTCAAACAGGTGGGGAAGCTGGTGTTTTCTCCACCCCGCCACAACCCCATATTTATTCTCTCTTCCCATCACTGCCCACCCCTTCCCACCACTCATTAACCAGCTCTCTTCTTTCAAAAGAGGCGCCTACCCTGCTGCTATCTTCTCCGTCTCCTTCGTTTCTCTCACCAGCAGCACCGGCACTGCCCATATCTTCCACCTCCCCATCTCCACCTCCTCTCTCTCTTCACACTCTTCACACTCCTCTCCCTCCTCTCATTCCAGTTCCCCCTCTTCCTCCTCCACCTCATCCCCTTCGTCTGCTGATTACCCTGCTGGGAGCTCTACTGGCAGGAGGCACAGCGATGTGACTGTGCACCATGTGACTGCAGCGGGGGAAGAGAGGTGAGTGGCAGGAGGGAAAGCAGGAGGCACAGCGATGTGACTGTGCACAGTGAGGTAAAGGGGGGAAGGGGAGAACTAACTAACGTGAGCAATCGTTGGCACCACGTTGACCACGTTGGCCACGTTGACCACGTTGACCACGTCACTAATGTTACGCTTTCGAACACTCCGTAATTCCCGCTGCAAAAGCTTCACGCCAGAATAGCCGCCTCCAATGCCGTAAGCCTCCGGGAATAGAGTTTCGCAGTAGCAACGAACAAACCCTGATATCTCTGTTACCTCGCTCGAACGTGATTTTTTAGGCGCCTCAAAAATCGCCTCAAAAGTGACCTTTGGAGGCGCCTAATATATCATACCAATGCTGTAAGCCTCGAGGAGTAGAGCTTCGCAGTAGCAAGGAACAAACCCTGATGCCTCTGTTACCTCGCACCGTAAGACATGAATCAACCATCCTTTGTGAGCTATATGGATAGGATAGCCTCTCACCTGATTGGAACGTCGGCACCTTTACCTACCCCTGCCCGCACATCTACCCATGTGTGCACTCTCCCCTTTGGTGTGCAGCATCTGTGCCATGGCTGTATGCTCTACTATGCCACATCAGGCGCAACAGTATCAGCAGCAACAGCAGCAGCACCAACAACACCAGCACCAACAACACCAGCAGCAGCAGCAGCAGCAGCAGCAGCAGCAGCAGCAGCAGCAGCAACAGGGGATGTAAGTTCCAGAAAATGACACTAGACCACACAAGTAATCACAACTCTGAGTACTGGCCGGGCCACACACAAGCTCAAGTACGACGTGTCAATTGCTACTGTACTCTTGCACGTCTTCTTCATGACATCTCAAAACGCGATATGTCATGTGATCTTGCACTTGTGCTACGCTTGTTCTGAGATGCCTCAAAAGCTTGGATATGGCATCTGAGCTTGCACGCTTGCTGCTCTTTCCCTAACGTGCACCATGATGCATCTTGAGCGCTTGCTACTCTGTCCGCTTGCCAATCTTTCCGCTTCCTACTCTTTCTGCTTGCTACTCTTTCTCAAAAGCGCAATTGTTGGGAGTGGTCCTCACAATTTCTGTTCCTTTCTCATCTCTATCATTGCTGCGTGAAGCGTTTCTTGAATGGCTCCATTCGTTTCTTGAAGCGTTTCTGTTAGTGCTCTCCATTCGTAGTGCACACCAGTGGTAGTGGCAAGGCAGATCATGCATCTCACTGCAAACAGTTGTCCATCGATCTGACCATGCATCATCTTTCCACCTGTTTTCTTCATCCACCAAGTTCCTTCCTCATGGTATTCGACTTTTGAGAGGTCTCAAAAGTCGACTATGCATCACCTCTCCACCGGATTCTCTTCATCCACCAATTTCTTCCTCATGGCATGATGCCATACAAATCCATATTCTTTCATCTATTCTCACATTTTCGTTTATGATGTATGCATGCAACATCGTTTTTTTCCAATCCTCTTTCCAATCGTCTTCCACCACCCAAACCTCCTTGAGCAGGCCTTTCTCGAACTTATCCCTACTCCCACCACCCCCTCTCCCTCTCCCTTCCTGCCCTTTCTCCTCGCCCTCCAATGGCTTGGCCAGGCGATATCTGAGGGTTTTCACGTCTACTGGATCCTTCAACCAATATTGCATCTCAACCGGCTAGCATGCTAGTTAGTCCAAGGAAATACCTGACCAGAAATAACAAGGACGAGATGTTGTCACCGGCGAGAAAGGGATCACAAGTACTACCATCGTATAACAATGCACATTTGTTGACAAAATTCAGCTGAGAACAACGCACATGCCACCAAGAGGGTTGTCAACTTGTCAACTACGAGGCAGCTACACATGTCCCCTGCATGATAGATCGAGTAGTTCTCCCATCTCTGCTTCATGGCTTGAGATAGACGATTTAGTAGAACCTTATATTGTACTAAGAAGAGTGTATTGATCAGCCTAAGCGCATAAAACAAAAGGCCAACTACCTTTACCGGGGTGGTTTGTGTTGTTGAGCCATAACCTCCAACAGCATCCTCTCCATATACCATTCACATGCAAAGCAATCTGCGCGGAACCTAATATCTCCAAAGCAATTATAACAGCAGTACTGGCCATCCACACCACTCTCAGCAACAGTCAATTGGAAAACGCCACTAAACACCATCTCTTGTGGGTGGGCTGCTTGGAGCTCTCCTCTCCCCATGCCTCACACCGGGTTTTCCTCAGCAAAGCTGTCCCCAATCATCTGGATTTCTGCGTCAAGGCTCTCGATACCCGCGAAAGCATCCTTCATCTCCTGAACTTGAGAATCCACCTTGACAGCAGCGCTCAGCTCCTCTTTGCCCACCACTTCATCCCGGATAGCCTGCAGCTCATTGGCAATTTGTGCCATGCTTGGGCGCCCTGCAGTGCGCTCCCCGGTGCAGGAGAGGGCGAGCTGAGCCACACGCAGCACAGCATCTGCAGGAGCATCCATGTTGGGATCCTTGAGGCTCCCCAGCTCACCCGAGGACAGGCACTCGGATGCCTGGAAGGAAGAAAGTACACACAGAGGGGGATGGGATGGGAGAGTTCACAAACGGGTAGGAGGGAGTTGATGAGTCGACACATCAAATAGTATGACAAGAAGTCTGAGTTCCTTGACTGCTCTCGAGAATGTGAGTTTAAGCACACTGTGGAAAGGTGAACACTTACCCAAAGTAATCCCTTTGGGAACACCCGAAGACCTTACCCATGGGGTGATTTGCTGGCTCTTGCCGGCAGTCTCGGAGAGAGGGGCCTGTCCGGTGAGCACCACCAACATGAGAACTCCAAAGCTGAAAAACAACACACATGTTCAAAGGCAATGTTTTTTAGGTTGAAAAGTCGAACCATCTCAAAAGTCGAACTTCAAAGCTGAAAACCAGAACACGTGATCAAAGGCAGAAAATGCTGACGGTTCAGATGTTGACCGATCACCACATGGCCGACTGAGTCCAGCATGCATAGTTTTATGCTCATCACGTGCATCATACCCATCACACCCATCACGCCCGCCCACAAAGATCACGACAAGACAACCATCATGCCTTGTCTCGTCAGTCAGCATCAGCTGCAAGGCTTTTGAGACGTCAGTCAGCAGCATCACCTGCAAGGACTTCTTTCTGTTCCTCCTTGTGTGGCAAGGCTTTCTGTCTGCAATGCCTCCTGCCTCACCTGTACACATCGCTGGCTGCAGTCACCTTGGATATTCTGGAGTAAACAGGATTCACATAACCCATGACGCGAGTCGTGCCCACACTCTTTGAGACGTCCCGAAATGATCACCTGTAGACATCACTGCCTCACCTAACGGCTCCTGCAATTATCACCTGTACACATCGCTGGCTGCAGTCGCCTTGGACGTTCGGGAGTAGACAGGATCCACATAGCCCGGTGTGCCCATGATGCGAGTCGTACCCACGGTTGTGCCCTCTCCCATCCTCACCAGCCCAAAGTCTGCAATCTTGGCCTGGTGGGTGCGTTGAGAGACATTGTAGCATGAGACGAGTGTGAGAATAACGGACGCATATATACATGTGGCGTGATGTACCAGTGCCTGATCTAGAGTTCAACACATAACTTAATTATGATACGAATAGACATTGTCTCCACTGAGCGACAACTAAGTTTCATACTTCATCCGTGTACGCTCTGATCTTGAATAATTACTTCACCACGGTTCCCATTCTTATTGCATAAACAGACTGTGGGATTAGAACAAAACAATGTGAAATGAACCAAGCTTGCCTGCATGTTGTCGGTGATGAGGACGTTAGCAGGCTTGATGTCGCGGTGCACGATACCAAAGCCATGGAGGTACTCGAAGCCCCGTGCCATGCCAATGAGAATATCCAGCCGCTGCTTCAGAGTCAGAGGGCATTCTGCCTCTGCAAGGATACACAATATGAATGGCAGTGCATGTCAGTGGAAGAGTGTATGAGTGACAGAGGTTATGAGTGACACAGCGTGTGAGTGACAGTGCATGTGAGTGACAGAGCGTGTGAGTGACAGTGCATGTGAGTGACAGAGCGTGTGAGTGACAGTGCATGTGAGTGACAGAGCGTGTGAGTGACAGAGCGTGTGAGTGGCAGCGCATGTGAGTGGCAGCGCATGTGAATGGCAGTGCATGTGAGCGACAGCGTATGTGAGTGGCAAAGAATTAGGGGGACAGACAGAGCATGTGAACGACACAACATACGAGTGTCACAACGGAATAAACACTGGGGGAGTGCCGCACATACTTGAATCAATCCATTTGTGAAGGTCGCCATTGGGCACGTATTCATAGATGAGAACTTTCTCTGGCCGAGTCCTCAGGTCTCCTCCGATTGCAAACCCAAGAAGCCTCACAATGTTGGGATGGTTCTTGTCGGCCATCTGCTTGATCTGATTTTCATACAAGAAAACGTGAGCAGCAGAGAAGAAGGAGCAGCTTGAAAAGTGGAGCACGCAAGAAATAGTCTAGAAGGGTCCACAATTGGAGGAGTTTTACGTATTTCTACTCATGCCTGCAAAAGCTCGTGAAATAAGACTTCACATGAAAAAAAAAAGGAATTTCTGAAGCACAAACAATCTTTAACTAGAATGGCAGAAAACACCATGGCAAGGCAACGACAAATGGCATCAACAGCAAAACCAAGCTGCATGTCAGCATGACTCACTGACCTCCTTCTGGAAGCCGACGCCTATGACTATTAGCTTGAGAATTCTCAAAAGTTACTCCAACGAGAATTCTAAAAAGTTACTCAAAAGGGAATTCTCAAAAGCTACTCAAGGAAAAACAATTCCCAGAAGGGCCTCAAGAAAAACCATCTCAAAAGTGCCTCACTGACCTCCTTCTGGAAGTCAACGTCTATGAGCTTGAGAATGCTTAAAAGTGACTCAAAATTAAGTTCTCAAATGTTACAAAAAATAGATTCTCAAAAGTGATTCAAAAGACAATTCTCAAATGTGACTAAAAAAAAACTCGAAGGTCCCTCAGTTCTCGAAAGTGCCTCACTGACCTCCTTCTGGAAGTCTACGTCTATGACCTTGGCGCGCTTCAAAGCCCACACGGTGGTGCCATCGCGGGGAGAGACGCCCTTGTACACATCGCCAAAGGCACCCGAGCCCAGCTGGTGGTCCTGAGACCAGTCATTGGTGGCCGTGAGGACCTCCTCCAGTGAGTACTCGGTGCAATGGGACGCTGCCAGGCTGCCCCCCAGGTCTGATCAGTGGGGTGAAAGGGGGGTGAAAGGAGGCACATCCAGAGATGAGAACTAGCCGACTCAAAAAGCACCCGGCTGGTGGTCCTGAGACCAGTCATTGGTGGCCGTGAGGACCTCTTCCAGTGAGTACTCCATGCAATGAGACGCTGCCAGACTGCTGCCAGTGCCTGCTCAGGATGCCAGGGGTGAAAGGAGGCACATGAGACCAGCTGGTGGTCCTGCGACCAGTCATTGGTGGCCGTGAGGACCTCTTCCAGTGAGTACTCCGTGCAATGAGACGCTGCCAGACTGCTGCCAGTGCCTGCTCAGGATGCCAGGGGTGAAAGGAGGCACATGAGACCAGCTGGTGGTCCTGCGACCAGTCATTGGTGGCCGTGAGGACCTCTTCCAGTGAGTACTCCGTGCAATGAGACGCTGCCAGACTGCTGCCAGTGCCTGCTCAGGATGCCAGGGGTGAAAGGAGGCACATGAGACCAGCTGGTGGTCCTGCGACCAGTCATTGGTGGCCGTGAGGACCTCTTCCAGTGAGTACTCCGTGCAATGAGACGCTGCCAGACTGCTGCCAGTGCCTGCTCAGGATGCCAGGGGTGAAAGGAGGCACATGAGACCAGCTGGTGGTCCTGCGACCAGTCATTGGTGGCCGTGAGGACCTCTTCCAGTGAGTACTCCGTGCAATGAGACGCTGCCAGACTGCTGCCAGTGCCTGCTCAGGATGCCAGGGGTGAAAGGAGGCACATGAGACCAGCTGGTGGTCCTGCGACCAGTCATTGGTGGCCGTGAGGACCTCTTCCAGTGAGTACTCCGTGCAATGAGACGCTGCCAGACTGCTGCCAGTGCCTGCTCAGGATGCCAGGGGTGAAAGGAGGCACATGAGACCAGCTGGTGGTCCTGCGACCAGTCATTGGTGGCCGTGAGGACCTCTTCCAGTGAGTACTCCGTGCAATGAGACGCTGCCAGACTGCTGCCAGTGCCTGCTCAGGATGCCAGGGGTGAAAGGAGGCACATGAGACCAGCTGGTGGTCCTGAGACCAGTCAGTGGTGGCCGTGAGGACCTCTTCCAGTGAGTACTCCGTGCAATGAGACGCTGCCAGACTGCTGCCAGTGCCTGCTCAGGATGCCAGGGGTGAAAGGAGGCACATGAGACCAGCTGGTGGTCCTGCGACCAGTCATTGGTGGCCGTGAGGACCTCTTCCAGTGAGTACTCCGTGCAATGAGACGCTGCCAGACTGCTGCCAGTGCCTGCTCAGGATGCCAGGGGTGAAAGGAGGCACATGAGACCAGCTGGTGGTCCTGCGACCAGTCATTGGTGGCCGTGAGGACCTCTTCCAGTGAGTACTCCGTGCAATGAGACGCTGCCAGACTGCCCCCTAGGTCTGCTCATGGCGTCAGAGGGGTGAAAGGAGGAACATGCAGAGCTGAGAACAAGTCAAGTCGGTGTAGTTGAGTCGGCTTCCTGACGACTCCGCTGCTGACTTCATTCGAGCCGGGCTTGTGTTTGCCCTGACAACATGACTTACAAAAATGCTCCAGATTGGGGCTGATTCAAGTCGTTTGGGTCAATATATGGGTCATTGAAGACCTGACCAAAACAGGAGACATTTAGGTCATCCATAGTGCACTCCTTCTAGTTGCTTCAATTCCCCACCTTTTGGCTTCTTCTTCTGCTGCTGCTTGTGGTGCCTCAAGTAGAGCAGAGTGGCGCCCAGAAGCAGGAGAATGACCACAGCAGCAACAGCAATGCCAATGATCACTCCCACTGACATCCCACCTCCACCCCCAGATGCTGCTGGTGAAGTAGACTCGCTGCTGCTGCTGCTGCTGCTGCTGTTGCTGCTGCTGCTGTTGCTGCTACTGCTGCTGTTGCTGCTGCTGCTGCTGTTGCTGCTGCTGTTGCTGCTGATGTTCGTTGTGATCGGGACTGCACAAGTATAGAATAGAACCAATCTGTCAGGATTACAAGAAGTCGCTTACCAACAAAAAAAAAGTGAGGTGGAGCAATGGTCAGACCAAGAGCAAAGAAAAATGACTTTTGATTTGACTCTAAGTTTCAAGACAGTGTGGTGGAGCAGTATTCTATTCAGACCAAAAGCACAGCGAAATTCAGTCAGCCAAGAAATCAATTCGCACAGGGAAGGATCAGAAAGGTGGTTGATAACTTGCAACGGAGCAATACAAGAGCCCATATCATGACTTTTGACGCGCCTCAAACGAACCCGTACAACGTACCATGATTCAACGCATGCCTTCGGTTCTCCAAGGCAAGAGAGGTGCTCCCCATGGTTAGACTTGCCTAGTGTCATGCCTTGCATGCCCTGTGAATATTTACATCAATATTGTACTATTCTGGTACAACTTTGTTTCAATCACTTGCCTGCAGGTTTGCCGCACGTCTTGCAAAAGGATTTACACGTGTGGCAAAAGGCTGTGGTCGGATTCTGTGGTGTGCCACAGTCGGTGTTGTCAAGTGGGCACGTGAGATTTGTGCCAGTGACATCTCTGCAATGGAAAGAGGGGAGATCAAATCAAAGGGCGGAAGTCATGGGCACCGCCACACCGCACGGACCTTGACCTTTAA